AGAAATGCTCGACCCGGAAATCAGACTATCCAGCTCTGTGAATATTTTCATGAAAAAATAACTGTCAATTATCCGCCCAACCCCAAAACCGTTTTTATGACCACCCCCAAAGCAACTATCGTATTTATGGCCCAAAAGGGTTACCCATCCTAACACAGCTACGGGTTGGACTTAGTAAGCTAAATTTTCAAAAATTCAAACATAGTTTAGGGATACTTTGATTCCTTTATGCCAAACAAATGATGGTGTTGAGGACACGGAGCACTACTTTCTGCTCTGCCATACTTATGACGTAAATAGACGTGATCATTTCAACAGTGTCCATGCAATATTGTTGCTTCATGGTTTGTTAAATCTTTCAAATAATAAAGAAACATAAAGAGTTACTAAAAGTCATCCTTTATGGCCATGAACAGTTACCATTTGATTTAAATGCAAAAATCCTCACGGCAAAATTGAAGTATATCCATGCCTCCATACGGTTTGAATAATGCAGGAACAAACATCTTTAAATATTCTCGCGATTTATTTCAATTTATTTCCTTAGTGGTTTCTTTAATTATAAAATCTTTTTTGATATTGTGATTTAGGTATATGTCTAGTGCTAGGAGGTAGTCATGATATATTGCTCCTTCTGGCCGTTCTTCTAACTTGATAAAGTAGTTTCCGCTCTGTATAGTTTAAGGTAATTTTGTTTGTAACTTTTTATATCGAATAAAAAGATGAGGCCATGGCATGTCTAGTGGCTATCATGACGAGCAATATTAATTTTCTTCTAGAGAGGAGTTGTTCATCATTGCGTATATCCCTTAATTCCTGCGTTCTGTAGAGTTAAATGTGTTGTGCCAGTCTTTTTGCTCAACTGTGTTGTGTTGCTCTACAATAACCGCTGTCCTTCGAAATGTACCAAGTAGAGCATTTTTGTTATAAATATTACGAGGAGAAAACAAATGTCATTACCATGTAACGTAAATGTTGGCAATGAACACATTCCAGTTGAATAACATGAAATCGGAAAATCGACGATGCTTTTTTGTTTGTTTTAATAGAATGTTAATGTTAATGTTATATAAATTAGAACTGGTCCTTTTTCAATGAGAAGGTAGTTTTGATTTAACAGTGTACTTACCTGATAAAATGTGCCAATAAAAGGGAGCGAAATGCCATGTTCGTATTGCTTTTAAAAGAAAACCAAATTTCATTGTAAAGATAGAACAAGGGTAGATGGATTGATTCAGTTTTAATTAAAAAAATGTTTTGATTGAACATGAATAAGCAAACTTTAGCTTCAGGATTATTGATTGATAAAGGTTCCGCGAATAAATTAACTATGCAAGATAGACGTTTAGACTTACCAGACAATCGACTTTTTTTGAAGACCGTTGTGATTTAGATTTTCATGTCAATAGAAGACAAAAACACAAAAGGTAGTAGGAAAAAGGAAGAAGGGATTCAATCGCTTTTTTCTAATGAAAAGCTCTTGTTCTTAAAGGCAGTCCCCCCCCCCGTGATTAGCTTATTCTAACTTGAAAGCCTCGTCCTGAAAGAGAGTCATCCTCTGCCATTTTAGAAGATGAGTAAATGAAATATGACCAGAGTTGATTTCACGAGAGGCTTTTCAGCTTTAACTAATTCGCCTGAGATTGCTTATATTTCTTAGTCCTTATGGTATCTTGTGCCACGCTTCCTCGCGTTTTCTTTTATCTGCTCTACTAGTTTATGGACAATGCGGGGAGTCTTTCGGCCTCCTCTGAATTTGATTTGTATAACCAGGGTAAGATGTGTGTTTGGTTAATCTAGGGGGAATCAATGTTTTGGCATAGCGAGTTCCTCGTTTTGCTCGGTGAAGCCACAATATAAATAGGCTGTTTTATTCTATACGTCACATCTCAATGAGAGCTAGCTATCAGATGAGTCTAATGGTGTTCCTCTACTGATAAAGCAGGTATGTTTTTGAGCTATTTTAGATAATGTTTGGGATTCTGGCAATTTCACCTGGTACTGGTATGAATTGGTAGCGTTGAAGGCTCGGTCGTAGAAAATTTGTTGTCACCTCGTGCTCTAGCTTTTTCAGTAGACTTCCTCGCTTATGATGGAATTGAAGCTAATTCTTCCTTTAGTTTTACAATCTTTTCACCATCAAAATTTCTTGGGTGGAAATTATTTAAGGCCTCGTTAGCAAAACTGTTTTTATATCGCCAACACCGATAGAGAAAGTTTAATTCCTTGAGTTTTCATGACTCGGACCGTGTTTTTTGCCCTTTAGTAGCCGTTATTCTATCAATTGTTTCTCGCTAAAATGTAAACAGCAGCAATGTAAACAACTTTTATTTATTGGTGTTGTTCATGCTTGGAAATTCAAATTTTTTCAACCTAAACAAAGTTTTAAATTAACAGTAAATTCAAGTTATAGCATCTTTGATAGATTTTAGGGTTGGTTTTGTCGGCAATAATTGTCCGTTCTGTGCTATTCACTCGTTGCCTTGTTGCAACCAGATAAAGTCGTTAGCCATTTTCCGCTTTCTACTTGTCTTTTATCAAGGAATGGTGATGAATCATTTATGGTATTAGTTGTAGATTTAAGCCAGGTAAATGACGACTTAAGCTCTTAATTAAACAAAGATGCTAGATTAGTTTGCAAGCAAGGTATTCCAATGTAGCACGAAAAAACCGCTTTTGTGTTGACAGAAGGAGTTCGTTTTCACATTGGGACTCCATTGTTGACATTCTCAATAGGCAGGCGAAACTGATTGGGCGGCCTTAACAGTCACGTGCTTGCGTTTCTGATTGGCCTATTTCGATCCACAACTGAGAATATGTATTTCCTAGCGTAGAGTTTTCGATTTATGTGCTGACGTTTTATACTTTGAAGAGTTTCAGACAAAAAGCTTTACTATACTCAAATATTTGCTTTTTTGAAAGCAATTTTTAGGCATGAGCAAATTTGTTGCTCATGTTGAGCAATTGTAAAGGAATGTTTTGCTCATTTTCAGCAAGCATGAGTGAATGTGCTGCTCAGATTGAAGTCCAGGAGTAAACATCAGGGAAAAAACGTTGCATACAAAGTCTCTCAATTTGCCGGAACTGTTACCAAACCCAAAATTTTTTATTAAACAGAGCCTTTTTAATCTTATTCAATCGGTTTTTAATCTATAAGGTAGAATAAGGGACAAAGCAGCCTTAATTAATCATTCCTAAAACAAGTTAAGTGATCAAAATTTCATATAGTTACTTTATCTCAGAAAATCTTTGCATGACACCACTGATAATAAGCACTTTTACAGCACGTCGTTCTGTTAATGATTAGCAAAGAATGATAAGCCCCTCAACGGGAAAAGTATCAAAACCAAAAGGGCCCGATTTTTCCCCAAATGATTCTTTTCTCTAAGACCACTTTTAAGATTTCCAAGACTACTTTTAGTGGCCAATACCACTCTCAACTAGACACTAAAGGAAATTAGCTACCAAGTAAATCTTAGCTGAAATAGCTTAAGGCCACAAAACTGGAACAAATAATTACATTTTTGGCGAATTTGAATCTATTTTTAATTTTTCCAAAGACAGAACCAAGACAGTAGCAAGAAGTAACTATCTAATCTAACTAAAGTAAAGCTACATCAATCCCCTTAATGTCTTTAAAAGAAATATAATCGTCCGAGTTGTCTTTGTCGTAGTATACTCGGAACTCTTGCAATTTTCTGTTGTACCATGATATTGTCCCAACAAAGAAACCATTTTCATAAAAAACTTTCAATTTTCTGCCAAGAAGCTCACGAGTGTAGTCACGGCCAGCTTCACAATGGACCTTTTCTGTCTCGTTGTCAAGTTACACGTTTTGTGTCCCATTGTTCAAGTTCTTTGTGATTTCTTCGTTCTTGACGCTGGTACCTCTGCTGGTCCGGCCATTGGCAGAGGAGGTGTAAACAAAATAATTTTAAAGACCTTGTGGATTTATTTTATCGTCAGCTGACCCATCAACCGTTATGAAACGCCTCCTCTGCCAATTTTCTCGAAGCATCTGTACCTACTTTTGTCACAATCTTCAGCAGAAAACTTTTCTGTCGCATTTCCAACCCAGTGCGTCAACAATATTCGTCTCTTTTTGCATCAAGAGAATCTTCAGAGTTGCCTCACAACAAATCTAGATTATCTTCCCGTCAACGGATTCGCTTCGATTCTGATGCTGTATTCATATGTGGGAAGTATATTTTTATGACTTGTGTCTTAAGTTTGAGGCTAACTTGGCAATAATACTTTTGGATTTTACAAAATTTTGTTGTTCTCAGTTTTATCACAATTTAAGAGCCTCATAATTTCTTTGCTTCGAGTACTGAGGTTTTTTATTCTTTTCTGACTGTCCAGTACTTGTTTGTTATAGCCAGTTTTTTTTATAAAAATTGAGTTTATCTATACACCATTGCCTGGAACCGTTGCACGAGCATTGCATAAAGCTTGAAACTCAAAGTCTTTACTAATCTTTAGATATATGTACCATAGACGATATTTTCTAGCACAACACTATGAAAGTGATAAATTGACAAAAAATGCAATAAATTGACGTTTCTGTCTCAATGATAATATTAGGACATTAATTGCATATCCTGGGTAATGACATTAAACTACATCCTGTGGTAAGGCTATGGTTCGGGAGCTCCAGATTTTTGGGGATAATGGAGTTACCTCTTAATTACCACTACTCTCAGGTCCACCCTGACCCGGGGTGGTAGCACCTGCAAAGGTCCCAGATATGGATCCAATATCGTTCCTGGGGTATGAACTTAAACTACATCCGTGCGCCACCGACAGAGCAGGGTGGAGATGCTTTAGCAGAGATTTGGTCTTGCTAAATAAATGATGAAGTATCGTGCACCATGACTGCTGGCAGAAATATGGTACAACCAGATGAATGGCGGCAATCAAACTCTAGTTAGTTGAGAACTGCAATCTGTAGAAAGCAACGGCAAACTACTACAGTATCCTGCCAAGAAAATGTTATGAAAATGCCAGTCTCAAGTAAAATAGCTAGAGTGCCTGGAGATGTGCCCCTCAGGTCGGATGGCACTCAACTTGCTACTGAGGAAGGGTGCAGCTCTGGATTGAGTAATTCTAGCAATAATGAAGCTGTTGTACTAAACCCATTAGGGCGTATGATAGCTGACACTGCAGAGGATGAAAAACCTCAGCAGTTCCACAACAACAAAAACCACACAATTGCGACCTGGAATGTTAGAACGATGAATCAGGGAAAGTTGGAAGTTGTAACAAATGAAATGGACAGAATAAACTTAGACATACTCGGAATAAGTGAAATGAAATGGACAGGGTGTGGGGATTTTAGATATGATGATCACACAGTGTACTACTCAGGACACCAACAATACAAGAGAAATTGATGATGAGATGATGATGTAATAGAACAGTTTTACACAGAGCTACAGGAAGTGCTAGATAATATACCAAAGAAAGATATGTGGTTTTTAATTGGAAACTGGAATGCAAAAGTGGGAAATATTGAAGAAAAAGGAGTCAGTGGAAGATTTGGACTAGGGGAGCAAAATGCTACAGGAGAACGATTAATAGAATTCTGCATTGAAAACGAATTGTTCATAGCCAACACTATGTTTTTCCAACACAAACGCAGACTATATATATGGACATCACCAGATTGTAAAAATAGAAATCAGATTGACTATGTCTTGGGCAGGAAGAGATGGAAAAGTGCGATACAGGCAGTCAGAACTCTTCCTGGAGCTGAATGTGGAACAGATCATGAGCTGCTTCACGCCACTATCAAAGTAAAGCTGAAAAAGAGAAGACAGCAACATGCGCAAGCTAGATATGATTTAACAAAGATACCGCCAAACTTTACAATCGAGCTATCGAATCGTTTCTCATGTCTAGAATCACAGGACACTAGTGTTGAGCAATTATGGCAGACAACAAAAGATATCATCGTTGACACTGCGGGAAAAAACATTCCTAAGAAAGAGAGAAAAAGAAAATCACATTGGTTATCACAGAAAGCTATAGAGATTGCTGAAGAACGACGAAACGCTAAAAAACAAAAAGATTTCTCCACATTTAATAACAGGTTTCAAAATCAGGCAAGGAAAGATAAAGAAATATACTTGAATGATATTTGTAGGAATATGGAAGAAAATCAAGCAAAAGGAAAGTCAAGAAATGTATTCCGCGCTATTAAACAGATCACAGGAAAGTTTACACCTCGCATGGCAACAGTGAAAGACCAAAATGGTAAAGTACTCACAGAGGGGAAAGAGATACAGGAGAGATGGAAACAATACACACAATGCTTGTACAACAGGGATGCAGACATATCCAATGATTTCACAGAAGAAGAATTTACAGAAGAACCGGAACCAACTCTAGCAGAAATAGAACATGCCATTAAAGAACTTGCGTGTAATAAAGCTCCAGGTATTGACAACATCCCCATTGAACTGCTAAAAAATACTGGCAAAGAAACACTTAACATCATATGCAAGCTGTGTCAGCTAATCTGGAAAACCACTGAATGGCCAGTAGATTGGAAAAGATCTGTCTTCTTGTCGCTGCCAAAGAAAGGCGATATTAGAGAATGTTCAAATAATCGAACAATATCCTTAATTGTTCACATGAGCAGAATACTTCTGAAAATAATCCAGAAAAGACTAACACCCTATATTGACAGAGAAATATCAATTGAGCAAGCTGGATTTATTAAAGGAAGGGGAACTAGAGACCAAATTGCAAACATCAGATGGATATTGGAAAAGGTACGCGAAGTAAAGAAAGAAATATATTTTTGTTTTATTGATTACAGCCAAGCATTTGACTGTATGGACCATAACACTATGTGGTTTGTGATGAGAAAGATGGGAATTCCAGAACATCTAATAATCTTGATTAAGAATCTTTACCATAAACAAGAAGCGCATGTACGAACAATGTATGGGCCAACAGATTGGTTTGAAATCAGCAAAGGAGTGAGACAAGGCTGTATTCTATCTCCATACCTATTTAATTTATATGGTGAAATTATTATGAGAAATGCAGGACTATATGAAAACAACATCGAAATAAAAGTAAATGGTAGACTTATTAATAACTTAAGGTATGCAGATGACACGACCCTGATTGCCGAAACCAAAGAAGATCTGGAAGAACTTATCAGAAATGTTAAGAAAGCAAGCAAGGAAAAAGGGCTACTACTAAATTTAAAAAAAACAAAAGTAATGACGACGGCAGAAATTACCAACTTTGAAGTAGATGGGGAATCCATCGAGGTAGTACAGGAATTCAATGTTCTTGGCTGTACATTAACCAGAACCTCTGATCACACAAAAGAAATTAGAAGGAGGCTAATGCTGGGTAGGAAGGCTATGACCAATTTGACAACGGTAATGAAAGCATTAGTATTTAAGAATAATCGAAGCATTAGTATTTCCTGTTGTTACATATGGAAGTGATACATGAGTAATAAGAAAAGCAGAAATGAAAAAGATTGAAGCCTTTGAACTTTGGGTATGGAGAAGACTCCTAAGGGTGCCGTGGACATCTAGAAGAACGAATGAATGGGTACTAGGCCAAATAAAAACAGAAAGATCATTATTCAACACCATCAGAAAGAGGCAATTAACCTATTATGGCAACATAAATAGAGCAGACAACAGTTTAGAAAAACTGATAATGCAAGGAAAAATTGAAAGGAAAAGAGGAAGAGGAAGACCTGCAACAAAGTGGTTTGACAACATTAAGACGATGACAACAAGAAATGTTTATCAGCTCAACAAAGACACTAAAAATAGAGCTGAATGGAGACGTCAGGTTCATAACATCACCAGGGGTCGAACGACCTGAAGGACAACTACTACTAATCGCATATCTACCCATATAGTTGTTACCTAAATAAGAATAAATGTTACCAATAAACAATATAATTTTGTCTTTTCATTACCCTATCAGCGTAATTGGACAACTGAAATTTCTACAAAACTAAATTTTCACCACAGTGCATATATTTCCATAAAAAATAGATATTTTTACAAAAAAACAAAGGAAAATGATAAAACTATTTCAAAATGAGTGCGGAATAAAGATAGTGGTTAAATACGGAAAAGGCCACGAGTTAGGTAGAAAAGTTTAATATTTTGTGCTTTTAGAGTGACGTTGTCGTGTTTTTATTACGAGTTAGTCGGACTGAGGCTTAATGTTTGTAATCACCGGCCGTGCTTTTATACACTGAATAATGTCAACATTACATGTCAATAACATGGGAAAACAGCCGGGAAAATAATATCTTAAAGCTGACTAAATTGAAAATTGATCAATTATTGAAGAAAGCTTAAAATGATTATTAACATTTAGATTATCTAGAAGTTCACACTAAATATTTTATGACGTTATGTTAAATATTACTTAGGTTACAATCGATGAAAGGTGATTCAAGTTGCTAAAATTACTTGTAAAGATTTGTAGATTGAAGCTGATTGCAACGAGACAATTTTCCTTGACGTATGCGAAATCAATTGAGAGGCAAAGATCACCAATTGACTGGAATAGAGATTCTGTTGTCCGTTTTTCCTTTTCTCTTGTCTTTTTCATAATCCTCTGTTGTCAGATGCCAGTAGTTCACCACGGTTATAAAGAGAAGGGCAGTAGTTCAGCAACTTTTGTTTAGCAAAGAAGACCTAATTTAAACCGGGCCCCAGGTAACGGTCTCATTGCTGCTTTTGGGGGCAATTCGAATTTATCCATTTTGAACATTGCTCTCACAAATTTTATTGACAGTGCATGGGCAAGACACCAGCCTAAAACCACCGACCTCCTTTTATGCCTTCAGCTAGAACTTGTTTGCAATTTTAGAAGCCTTTGTGAGGTTGCTTACTGCGCTCGTTGGAGCAACTTGACTCCTGGTAAAGCGTCCAATTGTAAATCTTCTCACAACGCTGTTACCATATGCAAATAGGATAGCGTTTATTGAAGCATTACATAAAATAATAATACAAGACCAATATTCTAGTACGTTTATGGTTGACGGGGGATTCCTTTTCTCCTGGAATTTGTAATACGACCAGATCACGGAGCAAATGTTGTATGGTAAAAACAGAGCCAGCAAGGCGCCCAGGACAAAACGAATCGTTTTTGTAGCCGAGAACTCTCCCCTTGTTCCTCGACTACCCGAATCTTCTCCGGCATCTCTCAGCATTCTCTTCATTCGCTTAGCATTAGTTGCAATTCTGCGAAGCACTATCAAATACAGGATGAACACAAAAAGAATGCCAATAAGATTGGATAAATTCGAGGCAATTTGAAGCGGGAAGGAAGGGATCGCTATAGATAGGTAGGCCGATATTGCTGATGTTGCGAAGCTAAACACAACGATCACCTTCATACGAAACTCGTTCATGAACGCATTGTACTTTTTGAGTTTCATCACGTGAAGATAACGATCCATAGATACGCACATCAACATGAAAAAGGAGAGATAAGCAAAAAGAACTGTGCTATATTGAAGAACGAGTTCAAACACACAGCTGCGGTACTTGTCTTTCAAAGATGCCATTACAGCTATGGATGGCAAGATGAATATTCCAGTTCCAAGATCTGATATATTTAAAACAAGAATTAGCTTGTTTGTGATCGTGTTAAGCTGCTTCATTTTGTACAATCCGTAAATTAGAGCTGCGTTCGAAAAAATGGTGATAGGCGACAAAAGGGCGATAAAAAACGACCCTGTGATCAAATGGGGCCTAGGCATATCCAGTGGCCAAAATGACGGACAATAGTAAATTTCTTCTGATGATGACTGGTTCATTACTTGTTATTTCTTCAAGCTCCGTGTTCTTTAGAAACAAAAGCCAAATATGGCGAATAGCAATACCTGGCAGTGTCAGTTTTTTTGCTCAACTGCGCTGTGTTGTTGTACGATGAGCACTATCTTTCGAAATGTACCTGGCAAAAGAATGTCGCTACAAATCATCGAGAATCCACCAAAAAATTAAGAACCACTACCGTGTAGAGCATTAAGCGGTAATAAACATCTGCTAGCGGATTAACTTCGAATCTAAATTTTGGTGATGGTTATGTTTTAATAGAACATCACTATTGTCATTAAAATTAGATGAATTTATCCGTTGGCAATGTGAATGTAGTCTGGATTCAACACCAAACTTTGCTTATTAATGATGTCAACCAAAATGATGCGAAATATTTGTTTTCTCGTCGCTGATATAACAAAAGAAGTTTTATTGTTAAGTAAAGGAGAACTGGTTCTTTTTTAATTAAAAGCAAATGTCGGTTGAATATCAAAAGACAAACTTTTACTTCAAGTTAATGATTAATATTGGTATTGTGAATCATCGAACTATGTAAGGATAACTTCAAAACTTGATGCACACTCGACTTTATTAATGAAGATAACAATGATTTCGATTCTCAATACAATAGAAGAAAAAGACACAATTGGTTACAGGGAAAAGGATGAAGGGATTCAATTGCATTCTTCTCTAGTCAAGAGTTCTTGTTCTTTATCGTTATATTCAACTATCATCCGTCAGGCATTGCTTCAAAATTACTCACCGTCTATTTCAGTAACTCCTTTTAGCCTATATGAATATGCCGCATGACAATTTGAAATGCGAAATGCCAATAATATACCACTTTATTAGATCGAAGAATTCAAATTAGTGCAAAATCGACTTTACTCATGAAAAACATTTTGAAGTCATCAAAAATCTACTTTAGGATTAAGAATTCTGACTCCATAGCCTAAAAGAACACCATGAAATACCTCTAAATATAGAAAATCTTTTGTATCTGTACAAAATGTCTTGAGATATGGTCAGTGAAAGATTTGATTGATTTGATTGAGTGATTGATTGATTGATTGATTGATTGATTGATTGATTGATTGATTGATTGATTGATTGATTGATTGATTGATTGATTGATTGATTGATTGATTGATTGATTGATTGATTGATTGATTGAGAGAAGGTTGATTTGACAGGAAAAGATCCTTTGAATTTGTGACAATTTCTCAGAAGATTCACAGCAGATTTAGCTAATTTTGTGTACTTAGAATTATTTCATGTTTCTTTCAGAGTAAGATGCCAGAATTCTAAAATTCTAAAACTAGACTTCTGTGACGTCATCACTCCGCCAATCTATTTCTTCCTTTTCTAATGAAGAGTTTTTCGCAACAGATTCAACTTTAGTTATAAATCTTCTTCAAAAAAATGTATGAACAAGATAAATCTATTTCGAAACGAGGACAGTATGGAGGTAGCAGTTAAGTTCTGAAAAGGTAAAGAGAAAATAGCAAAACTTAAGTTTTGTGTTTTAATATAGAAACGACAATACTTTACTAAGTGTTATTCGGAATGGTGTTAAATGTTTGTAATCACGAGTTGTACCTTTTTACGCTGGTGCCTTTTTACGCTGATCAATGTCAGCAGTACGTGTTCAAAACATATGTGAGAATTTATCGAAAATTGATATCTTCAAGCTGAAAAATCGAAAATTCATCTTTTTTAACTTGTGCAAGTGTACTGGATTGAGCGAAGTAAAATTGTTCCGCAACACAAAGAATAGGATTGTTTGGAGAGCCATGATCGCCAACGTCCGGATCGGATTAAGTACCCACAGGAGAAAAAGACTGAAGAAAGCGTAAAACAATTATCAATAACCATGTTATCTAGAAATTTACAATGTGTACATTAATCCCAAAAAAGTTGGGATGGTAAACTTTTTGAACGAACAAATAAACGGACCTAAAATTTTACCGTCCAAAAATATTCCAGCCAATAAACAATATTAAATCTTCGATAAATATATTTCCCTAAGACTTAGATATGATTTATAGTGAAGATTCTTTAAAAAGAGGATGTGAGACTGCGAAACCAACATAGGTAGGGTCGAAATGAAAATAGCCAGAAAGGGAAGAATATTTTTTTTGTTAGCTATCGCTTAAACATGCAAGATAGGTGAAGTTTGCTGTCATCAAATTCGAATATAGCAGGATTTTCTTCGTCATTTAACTTGCTTGATTCATCCTTGCCGTCAGTATACGTACCATCAAACATGTTTAGCGCCCCATCTTCCTCCAATTTTTCTATTTCGCTTTTTTCTATGTTTGGAAATGGTTCATCTGAGAATTTCCTAGTTTAACTGTTTGGACTTTTATAGTTTTTGTTGTTGAGATAGATGCGCCGTTCTAAATTTTGTGGTTTCATATCAGCTATTTCTACGGTCAAGACGACTTCTAAACAACCGTTAAAAATCTGAGACCTGTCCAATTTTGCATCTACCTCTTGACCGTTGACTGTTCCCCGATGCTCCAAAAACACTCAACAAAATCTGACATGACTTGAGCTATATTCCCCACGACATCTGGGAAATGTTAATTCATCCTGTCAAACATCTATGCCTTTCAATACGGATTTATATTCAGGCCTCTAAGTTTCCTTTTCAATGAACTTGCTTGATTCATTTTCGTCGTCGGCGAGCCTAGAAACCGCTAACTAAGTACAACGCATCACGTACCAGGCGCATCGCGTCAACTACCAACCCGGCAGCAGATGTTTCAGCGACCCTCATCGTCAGTGACCAGTTGTTAGCCCCAGTATTTCTACTGGTACTGTTTTGATATTTCCACTGGTTCAAGGACGGGCCCTCTGGTTCAAGAAACCGGAATTTAAAATGGCTTTGAAAAAAACAAACATTTTACGTCATATTAGCTAAAAGCTTTTTTGTCTGACACTCCTCAGAGCCATCTTACCCAGTTGTGGATCGAAACAGGCCAATCGAAAAAAACGCAAGCACAATACAGGTATTTGCTTTGGTAGCGGTTCTAAAATGCGTGAGATCTGATTGTTGTGAATCAAAATTTGGCATAGACTTTGAATAACTGATGCCCCTTTTTGTTAAACTGATAACTTTCCAGAAGCTTATGTGAATGACGTCCCGTGGCTCATCCAACAATGTCCAAGAATGCCTACAGGACGACAAACAGTGTTGGGATTTGTTGAAATAGATGTTGCATTGGCCAACCTTCCACTTTATTTGCGCCTTCTTTAATTCAAATTTGCTGGAAAAGCAGGTGAAGTTTTGTTCGGGACAACACGACTTCTGAAGAATTTGCCGATCAAGAATCTTCTCACAACGCTGTTACCATATGCGAATAGGATAGCGTTTATTGTCGCATTACTAAACAGGAAAATGGAGGCCCAAGATTCTAGTACGTTCATGATTAATGGGGGATTCCTCTTCAACTGGTATTTGTAATACGTCCATATTGTGGAGCAAATGTTGTACGGTAGATAAAGAACTAGCAAAGCACCTAAGACAAAGCGAATCGTTTTTGTTGCCGAGATTTCTCGTCTTGTTTTTCGGTTACCCGAATCTTCTCCGGCATCTCTAAGCATTCTCTTGATTTTCTCAGCATTCAATGCAATTCTGCGAAGCACTGTCGAATACAAGATAAACATAAACAGAACATAAAACAAATTGCATAAATTCAACATGATTTGCAGCGGGAAGAAAGGAATCGCGATCGATAGATAAGCATTTATTGCTGATGTTAAGAAGCTAAACACAACGATAACCTTCATACGAAACTCGTTCATGAACGCATTGTACTTTTTGAGCTTCATCACGTGAAGGTAACGATCCACAGAAATACACACCAACATGAATATGGAGAAATATACGAGAAAAAAGATGCCATATTGAATAACCTGTTCAAAAGTACAGTTGCGGTACTTGTCTTTTAAAGTAATCATTGCAGTAATTGATGGCATGATGAATATTCCAATGCCAAGATCTGAAATATTCATCAGGAGAATGAATTTGTTTGTGATCGTGTTAAGCTGCTTCATTCTGTACAGTCCGTAAATTAGAGCTGTGTTCGAGATGATGGTGATTGGTGACAAAAGGGCGATGAAAAATGACCCAGCCATCAATTGAGGCGATGGCATGTCCAATGGCATTAATGACGGGCAGAAGTAATTTTCTTCTGTAGATGAGTTGTTCATCATTGGGTATCTCTTTTACGTCCTTCGTTCTGTAGAGCTAAACGCGTTGTGCCAGTCTTTCGCTAAACTGTGCCGTGTTGCTGTGTAATAAGCACCATCTTTCGGAATGCACCATACAGAGTATTTTTGTTGTAGATAAAATGTATGAACCGTTTCAAAGTCGGTCATGAACATATGCTAGTGAGAAGACATCAGCTCAATAATTTGATGATTTGTATGTCTTTCTTTTATGAAATACACCTTACGTGTACGAATCTTTTAAATAATGAATAATTTCGAGCAAGCGAGGAATTAGATAATCATTTCGACACGTTCATTGAACAGGTGAGCTTTTTTACAAAATCAAATAAGCACTCTTGACAGTAGAATCCTGTTTATTTATTTATTCAAGCTTTTTATGGATAAGAAGCTATTTATTTCTGAATCTATGTTCAGCATAAATTTTTAGCATTTTGCTTAAACAGCTGCTCGTGGTATCCGTAAGGAAAGTTCTTTTTTTTTAAATGAAAAGTGCGCACTGAGCAAAATTTAATACCAAATGTATTCTTGAAAAAATGTTGATGCAATCGTGGGATGGTTGGAAGAACTTTTTTAATTACGGTCTTAGTCCCCTTGAGAAAACAGAAATTTCTGAAGTGAACCGCTTCGGACAATTGTGACTTGTTATTTCAAATCGAGTGAAGTACAGACGTAAGTTAATACCTTAATGATTGCAGACAAAACATCAACATTGTCCAGTAAACTATATAAAAGATTCACTTTCCAGCCGAACAAACAGTCTCTTCATCCTCTTTTCTATCGACGTTCTGTTGCTGATCTCTCAATTTTTTATAAACTTTACCACGGACGTTGCTCTCTGTTTTCCTACGAAATGTATGCAATGCGATGCATTTTGGCAGTGCTTACCCTTTCCATGTCCCATTGCCAAACTCACGATCTATATCCCACAACTCATCGTTCTTCCTACATCCCTTTATAGCTTGGCTAGTGGCTATTAAATATGGAGTTGGTAATGACATTTCCTGTACCAGCATGTTACATATGGAACGTATCACCTGTACATCTTTGCCTAGAACAGTTGTATGATCATCACATCAAGCATTAAACTCGGAATTGCAACTGAAGCATCTTCTGTTCTATACACCAAAGCGTGTACAACAATTTTAACAGATATGTGCCATTGACGATATTTCTTAGCACAACACCAAGTCAATGATAAACAGACCGATAAATGCAGAAAAACAACGTTTGTAATTTCCAGTCCACATGATTATGCTAGGACTTTACTTGGATACGTAAACATGTGATTGTTACATATGTTAGAATAATTGTTACGAATAAGCAATTTATTTTTGCCTTATGATTATCATCTATAAGCATATTTGCACACATTATATTTCTACAAATCTGATAGTGTTCATATCGTTCTTTTTGACCACAGTGCTCATATTTATCAAAATGATGTCAATAAGCGAGATACCTAGAGTTGCAACTAACAACAATCTTGTTCTATGCACAAAAGCGCGTACAGCTCGGCCTACATGACATCAGTCACTCTATGACTGGCCGGTAAACAGTAATTTTTGTAAAATGTCACAGTTATGTTTTAAAGACGATATATCCAGTTCAAGAAATAGCTAAACACAATGGTCTCGAGATATAACAAATGAAAACATCACCGCTTGTATCTTGAAGACTATATGATTATATTAAGACTTTATTGACATATCTACAAATACTATTAAAATAACGGTTGTCTATAAACAATATACTTTTGCCTTATAGTTACCCATCTACTTTTGAAGAACTGAGATTTCTATAGAACTAGATTTTCACCTTTAAAGGTTACAATAGAATATGATTCTTTCTAAACTGAAACGAAATGAACATTATCACACTTTTGCAAAATGTGGACAGGATAAAAGAACTGGTTAAATTTCGAAATGCCCATGAATTATGGATCCACATTCCTAACTTTGCGCTTTGAGAGACATGCCAATCTCTTTATTAAAAACATAAATAATTGATGTTCAATGTTTTGTCGAAACATTTGTCGTGACTTTATATGCTGGAGACGGGAAAAAGATTTCTTCAAACTGAAAAAGCGAGAATTGAACGATTATTGAAGGGGGCCTAAAGAGTTGTCAACATTAAGGTTATCTAAAAACACATTTATTGACATTATTGTAAGATAATACTAAGGCTACAATCAGTGAACATTCTTCATGATAAGATTATTTTCTTAGGGTTGTCTACATACAACCTAGGTTCTTTATAAAACCTTCTAAAACTGCATGAGCAAGACACCAGCCTCAATCTACCAACATCCTTTTATGTCTTCAACTATACCTTGCTTGCAATTTTAGAAGGTCTTGTGACTCTATTCACGGCGCTGCTTGGAACAACTTGGCTCCTGGTAATCCGTGCAATCAAGAATCTTCTCACAACGCTGTTGCCATATGCGAATAGAATAGCATTTATTGCAGCATTAAAAAACACAATTATATAAGACCAATATTCTAGTGCGTTTATGGTTAATGGGGGATTTCTGTACTCCTGGAATTTGTAATACGTCCAGCTTGCGGAGGAAATGTTGTACGGTAGATATAGAACCAACAAAGCACCCAGGACAAAACGAATTGTTTTCGTTGCCGAGATTTCTCGTCTTGTTTCTCGGTTACCCGAATCTTCTCCGGCATCTCTCAGCAATTTCTTAATTTTCTCCGCATGAGTGGCAATTCTGCGAAACACCATCGAATACAAGATGAACATAAACAGAACTCCAAAAAGATCGGATAAATTCAACACGACTTGCAGTGGGAAAGAAGGAAACGCGATCGATATGTAGGCGATTATTGCCGCTATTACGAAGCTAAACACAACGATTACCTTCATGCGAAATTCGTTCATGAACGCAGTGTAGTTTTTGAGTTTCGTCACGTGAAGATAGCGATCCATAGATACGCACATCAACATGAAAAAGGAGAAATATGCAAGATGACAGGCGCAACATTGAAGAACCAGTTCAAAGGCACAGTTGCGATACGTGTCTTTCAATGCTGCCATTGCAGCAAGGGATGGTAGGATGAATATACCAGTTCCAAGATCTGATATATTCATCACGAGAATGAATTTGTTTGTGATCGTGTTTAACTGCTTCATTTTGTACAGTCCGTAAATTAGAGCTGTGTTCGAAACGACGATGATTGGTGACAAAAGGGCGGTAAAAAACGACCAAGCGATCAAATGAGGTCATGGCATGTCTAATGGCCATATTGACGGGCAATAGTAAGTTTCTTCTGGATGTGAGTGATTCATTACTGGTTATTTTTTTCTGAGTTTTTTAAATTGAAACGCCAAATGTTACGAAGAACAATACCTTTCAGTGTCAGTTTTTCGCTCAACTGTTCTGTGTTGTTCTTTGAAATCGCTACTTATCATTTCGAGGCAAAGCAAAGTCGCTACTCATCATTTCGAGAATCCACCAGAAAATGAAGCACCACTACCATGTAGAGCAGAAGGCGGCAATTAACATCTGCTAGCGGATTAACTTCCAATCTGAATTTTGCTGATGGTTATGTTTCTCCATTCAGCATTGCTGTTGTTTTTAAATTAGGTGAATTTATCTGTTGGCAATTCTAATGAACTGAGGATCAACAGCAAACTTTGCTTATTAATGGTGTTAACCAAAAGGATGCGAAATACCTTTTTGCTCGTCGCTAGAATGACAAACGAAATGTAGTTGTAAATAGAAGAGGCCCGGTTGTGTTTTAATTAAAAGCAACTGTGGATTGAACATCAAAAGACAAATTTTAACTTCAAGTGAATGGTTAGGATTGGTACTGCGATTCATTGAACTATGCAAGCATAACTTCAAAACTTTTTGCACAATCGATTTTATTGTTGGTGACTATTGTGATTAAGACACAAAAAGTGGTAGGAAAAAGGAAAGGAGTCATTTTTTTTAAATTTAGAGTTTTTGTTCCTAATCGCTGTTTTCAACTACTAATCGTCCGCTCTATTCAAATATCACCCGTCAGGCATTGCTTCAATATTACCCACTGTCCATTTCGGTACCTGCTTCTAGACTATCTGAAAGTGCAGCACAACATATTGGAATACGCATTGCCAATACAGCGCCACTCGACGTATATTTCTATATTGATTTTATAGAAGAATGTCATATTATGCATTTGTCAACCTTTTGCGTTGATAAGTGGACCTTTATGAATTCCGTTATGTGTGTCTGCTCGAGGAGAGCGTTTTATTTTTACTCGAAAATTTTATTTTCTCCGCGTTATTTTTGGTGGAAATATTACTTGTATCTGCCACAGAGTATAGTGATACATTTTCGGTCTTTCTTAGTTTCTTTTTTGTTATATTTGTTCTAAAGATTTCAGAAACTTAGCGTTCTGGTGCTTTATGGTTAACTAATCCTAAATAAATTTCTAAGGCGAAGATTTTTACAGAGCCTCCTTCTAGAGTGAAGAATTCTTGAAGCCTCGTTCCCTTCCCGGCATTCACTGTATTCTTTTGTTACATTCTTTTTTTCTGCCTGTCATCAATTCTTATTATTTATTTTGTTCGGCTTCATGAAACAACCTCCAAACCCTATTTTCTACGTGCTCTTTATAATCATTTTCATGTTGTATATCCCCACCACCCTTAGAATCGTCATTTTCCCTTCCATACATCACATTGTTTTTCCACCGATCCTTTGGTTATTTTCTCTGAGATCTCCGCTTTTTACCTTAAACAAACTGCAATTATTGAAACAAAAATGGATTAGGGGTACTTTTGACTATGTGGGCCGCTTCCTTAAAAAGTTGTGCACGGATCATGCAAGTTAATGAAAAATTTCAAACAAGTGAAGAATTATAGAATAATTTTGAAGCATTGATTGGACCGGTGAGCGTTTTATCAAAATCAAATATTTCATATAACAGTAAACTATGATTGGCTATTTCAAGAGAATTTTCTATTGGGGAAAGCTGGAGGCTTTAGGATACATTTGATATCCGATTTGGCTCAGTGCGCACTATGCATTTCAAAGAAAGCTAGGAGTTTTCTTCCCTGATACCACAGGCAGCTGTTCAAACTAAATGTTACAGATTTATACTGAACATAGATTCAGAAATGAATAGATTCTTATCCATAAAAAGCTTGAATAGATAAACAAACAAGATTCTACCTCCAAGAGGGCATATTTGATTTGTTTAAATAGCTCACCGCTCTAATGAAGCTTTTCACTATTTCTTCACTTGTTCAGACAAGGTCCGTACGCAACTTGTTACGGAAAAACCTACGCATCCTCAACTATCGAGTTGACATTTTATCGCCAGGAGATGTGATTACCGCCTTATATATTATAGGGTGCTAGTATCTTATTTCCAGGTAGTACTATCTATAACGGTATGCTCTATATCTGTCTGGCGCATTTCGACAGAAAGTGCTTATTACAAAACAACACAGGACAGTTGGCCGAAAAACTGGCACAACGCGTTTAACTCTACAGAACGCAAGACATTAGAGATTTTCGCGATGATAAATCACTCACATCCAGAAGAAATCTACTATTGCCCGTCAATATGGCCGTTAGGCATGCCGTCGCCCCATTTGATCACTTGGTCATTTTTTACCGCCCTTTTGTCGCCAATCACCATCGTCTCGAACGCAGCACTAATTTATGGACTGTACAAAATGGAGCAGCTAAACACGATCACAAACAAATTCATTCTCGTGATGAATATATCAGATCTTGGAACTGGAATATTTGTTCTGCCATCCATAGCTGCAATGGCAGCTTTAAAGGACAAGTACCGAAACTGTGTGTTTGAACTGGTTCTTCATTATGGCGCCTTTCTTCTCGCTTATTTCTCCTTTTTCATGTTGATGTGCGTATCTATGGATCGTTATCTTCACGTGACGAAGCTCAAAAAGTACAATAAGTTCATGAACGAATTTCGCATGAAGGTGATCGTTTTGTTTAGCTTCGTAACCTCGGCAATAATCGCTTACATATCGATCGCGTTTCCTTCTTTCCCTCTGCAAGTCGCGTTGAATTTATCCGATCTTTTTGGTGTTCTGTTTATGTTCATATTGTATTCGATGGTGTTTCGCAGAATTGCCACTCATGCGGAGAAAATTAAGAGAATGCTGAGTGATGCCGGAGAAGATTCGGGTAACCGAGAAACAAGACGAGAAATCTCGGCAACGAAAACGATTCGTTTTGTCCTAGGTGCTTTGTTGGTACTGTATTTACCGTACAACATTTGCTCCGCAATCTGGGCGTATTACAAATACCAGAAGAAGCGGAATCCCCCATTAATCATGAATTTCCTAGAATATTGGGCTTATGTTATCGTGTTTAGTAATGCAGCAATAAATGCTATCCTATTCGGATATGGTAATAGCGTTGTGAGGAGATTCTTAATTGGACGCATTAGCAGGAGTCAAGTTGCTCCCAGCAGCGTCGTGAGTGACGTCACCAGACCTCCTGAAATCGCAAGCAAGGTATAGTACACCCCTGTCTAAGTGCCCCAGGATATTCTGCCCCGGCGACAAAATAATTGTCCCCGGTATAGATCGCCAGGATCAAATTCCTCGGTCACAAGTTTTGCAAACCCCGGTACCTAAAGTGTTTCAAAGGTTCCCCGCAATCCAAACTATAGCAAATTATTTGACTGTAAGTGTGCAGAGAATTTTCCTTTAGATTGTCAGACGCAATGAACAAAGAGAAAGAAAGAACAAACACAAATTGGAGGAACTTATTTGTCACACGCGTTTGTTTTCAGCACTTTTTTCTATTCTGGCACCTTATCTTGAACAGAATTTTCTACAGAAGTCAATGATTTCAAGATTTCTTGTTTTTACTATTGTAAAAATCAAGACCCTCATTTGGTAAATTTAAACCATGTATCTAATTTCCCTACAGAAGAATCGTTGACTGAAATTCACAATGAGCTCTAGACCTTTTTTACATGCAAAAAAGAAATCCCAAGGTGAGAAGAGGAGCAATTGACTATTAGTTTGCTGGTTACCTGGCTTTAGAGGTAACGCGAAAGCATTCTATTTCCAAGACTACGGAAAATTTGTATCAAGTGTTTTTAACTGCTGCACAATCTCTTCGCAAAAGTAAAGGAATTTTCAGTACGATTATGAGAATTTCTTTAGTAAAAATTGCTTGAGACAGTGGATTTTCCAGCGAACGAGAATTATCAAAATTTCAAAATTTCTTTCCTTCGTCGGCAATCATGGTGCCGCCTTGGGTAACTACATCAAGTGCTTGTCGCGATATTACATATCAGATCTACGGGGTTGGTAGGTCCGTTAGTCGGTTATCATTTTATTGGCTTGTCAAAGTTTCTATCCTTACGAAAAAAGTGGTATGTATTGGCTTTGCGTTCACACGGGACTTGGCGGATCCGTTAGGGAACGCTTTTGAAGATCGTTCCGTTTGGATCCGTTCCCAGAAATGTCTCGTGTAAATGTGTTCCAAACGGATCTGTACCTAAAGTGATACAGATGGGCCTTGCGTTTACACGGGACCTGGCGAATCTGATCCGATTTGGATCTGCTATCCATACCCATTTTGGATCACTTTTGAAGATGTTCCCGTTTGGTCCAGATACAACAGCCTTCGATCTCTGTAAAAATCAATAATTTTCTCCCTTCTGAGGCTTAATAATTGCCGGCAAAATGTCATTATTGGAATAAGCACATAAATATGCTTTGATCCATTCGGATCCCATCCCGTATAAACGCAATATATTCGGATCCGATCCCTTGTAAACAGGGCCTAAGAGTAGCACATGTCTTTTTAATGGCAAAATCAGGTACAGTGAGTTTGAAGATACCCTTAATGTTAATAAGTCTTTCAGACTCCCTTGGATTTTTCATCTTGAGGGTTTCGTTTCCCCGTATTTTTTATGCTTTGACATGTAATGTTGACATAGCAGCTCTTTAAGGCCGATTTCCACTAGGCGAATTCTTTCGCGCGAATCGAATTTTTGCCAATATGAGCATGCATGGTGTAATGTTCTCAGATTTCGCAGCGAAAAAATTCGATTCGCAGAAAGTAGATAACGGTCCTACTCTTTCGCTACGAAAATTTTTTCGATTCACGCGAAAGAATTCGCCTAGTGGAAATCGGCCTTCCGAGCGGGGATATTATTTTTTTGTGGGGGACTCCCTTTTTTAAATAATGTCCCTAAAAGAAAAAAGACACATCAAGAAAGTTTTTTTGTAGATCTTTTTCCGTGATCTTTCAATATTCTAAACGCTCTAAATTTTTCTGGGTAAGAAAAAAGACGTCATTTAATCATTAAACAGAATAGGGACCAATTTTAAATAGGTAGGTTAAGTATTTGATGATGCTTGCAGATACTCGTGTCACAATAATAAGTACAGGAAAGTTACTACCTAAGGCGGCACCATGGTTGCCGCAGAAGGTTTGGAGATTTTCGAATTTTAATGATTTCAACTCGCTGGAAAATGTCTTATTGGAGCAATTTTTCTACCTTTACAATACAACCTTACTCTTAGAATTAATATCCACAAACGAAACGCTATTCTCATTATTCGCGCACCCAACCCCAAAACATTGTAATGTGGACTTGGTTCTCACTGGCTTCGGTTTGCCATTTAACATTTAAAATATTAACGTGCCAATGAGTGACAAGGATCAAATCGAAATTGGAATAAAAACAATCAAATATACCATGGACTATCATTGATGTTTATTTAATGCCACCGACGTTTCCCAAAGTGCGGGTTACTAGATCTCCAAGAAGGATGGCTGTAGCCCCCTGCCCTCCTCTGTCGCCACCACTGCAACGTTCCTTTCTCGTCAGTTTAGAAAGAATCATATTTCGTGATGATATTGCACAATGATGAAAATCTAGTTTTTTAGAAATGCCAGTTGTCCAAACGTACTTGTAGTTTGGTAATAGTCAGGCAAAATAAGTGATGAGTTAATATGTAAATAATGTGCTAAAAGTATTGGTAGATATGTCGTTAAAGTATTAATATAATCATATAGTCTTCATGATATAAGCGATATCTTGATTTGTTATATCTCGAGACCATTGTGTTTAGCTATTTCTTCAACTAGACATATGGTCTTTGAAACATAACTGCGACATTTTACAAAAATTACTGTTTACCGGCCAGTCATAAAGTGACTGATATATCATGTAGGCCGAACTGTACGCGCTTTTGTGCATAGAACAAGATTGTTGTTAGTTGCAACTCTAGGTATCTCGCTTATTGACATTATTTTGATAAATATGAGCACTGTGGTCAAAATGAACAATATGAACACTATCAGATTTGTAGAAATATAATGTGTGCAAATACGCTTATAGATGGATAATCATGAAGCAAAAATATATTTTTAATTGATAAGAATTATTCTAAAATATGTAACACTTATATGTGTACGTATCCAAGTAAAGTCCTAGCATAATCATCTAGACTGGAAATTAAAAACGTTGTTTTTCTTCATTTTGTGGTCTGTTAATCACTGACTTGGTGTGGTGCTAAGAAATATTGTCTATGGTACATATATCTAAAAATTGAAGAAGACTACTGCTTGTCATATAGTGTTTGATGACAGAACTGTATTCCAGGTTTCCCGACCGATAATGTGTTTTGCAGACAAGGTGTTTGTACAGATAAAGCGATCACCTGTACCATGTAGGTATGCCCACTTTGAATAGCACCAGAAGAGAAAATATAGATATAGCAACATGGTGCTTTGTTTGGGGTTTGAAGAAAGTAGATGCTTCAGGAGCATAATGGAAGTTTTTTCAGAGGTGTCCTATAATAATTTATTAATAGGGGACGGAACAGGTGTATAGCAGTGTCAAAACTTGGTCATAGTTAGTTTACAGTGTCCGTTACGTAACTTTGATTGCTCTGGGACCAACAAGCTTAGCCTACAATGAGCTTAGTTAAATCACAGAACAGATAGATCTTTATTCTATGTTTACATAAAGTTAAGGCAGTGAAGTATACCGCTCTCATTCCAGCGTACTTTTGATAGAAAGTCGCCGTGAAGATGTCGAGGCTTTCAGTTTTCGAAGGGCTTCAATTTCTGAAGTTCTTGAGCAAGTTGATAATCTCAATATTAAGAAAGCCTCACATATTAGCAGCATTCCAGCTGAGATAATTAAACATAATGTTGACCTAGTCGTCTCCCACCTGCTATTTCTTATCAATAAATGTGTGAAAGAAATTGTTTTTCCGATGAACTAAAAGACGGTGATGTTAGAGCGCTTTTCAAGAAGATCGAGTTATTCAACAAAAGAACTATAGTCAAATAACAGTATTACCTTTAGTCTATAAAGTCTTTGAGAGTCTTTTGACAAATCAAATGCTACTTTTTGTTAAGAAGATTCACAAGTCTAGCCTTTGCGCATGTCGTCAGGGTTCTAGTGCTGAGAATGGTTTATCTAGATTTGATATGAGAGACAATCGTGGAGACTTGTAAGAGAACGTTAAAGATTAAAGGTTTTCTCAGGCTAGTTCTTGTGGACTTGTCCAACGCTTGAAACTGTCTCAACAATGAACTCTTGCTTTCCAAATTTAACGCATACTGCTTTAGCAAAAATGTCTTACTAATGGTGTACAGTTATCTAGCGGGTAGAAAGCAGCGAGTCAAAATCAATTGACCGCTCATTCAGCCTTTTGGAAAGAAATGAAATTAGCTGTCGCCCAAGGATCAATCTTAGGGCCTCTTCTTTTTAGCATACCTATCAATGACATTTTCCGTTTGTTGAAGCAAGCTGAAATTTATAATATGGAAACGATGCAGCAATTTTTTTATTCTCATCAAGAGTTGCGGGAGCGGGAATTTGTTTAAAGCTAGAAAATGAAATCTTTTTTTCTTAGAATGTCATCAAATATGCAATCAAAGATAAATGTCATCAGAGCTTTTGAAATGTCACAGTTGAGCTACTAGCCACTTTTGCAATACGAAGGAGCACAAATTATTCAAGGATTTATTTTGGTTTTTGTATGACTTTTTTGTAATGTTTCTTAAAACTATTAATTCCCAATTACAGAATTGTATGAATAAATCTATTTACAGTCGTTCAGCCGAATTTTTAACTCGCGATTTTATATCAAATCTGCTAAAGAAGGAGACAAAAGAGCATAAAACTTTCATCGGCTCTTTCAAGAACTTTTTTATCAAATAGGCTGAAAGCTTTAAGATTCTTCTGATTTCCATTTCCTCTCAACCCGTGTTTCGCATTTAAAAGAAAACTACAACGTTCCTTCACGATACCTCGGAAAACGTACGTTTTTTTAAAATGATAAAAATAATGATACAAACTGTCGTCAATTTCGTATCATCTGTATATGTGCCAACCAAGTGGTGTCAACCTCTCAAAGTCTACATTTTGTAGACTTTTAAAAAGGATGATAATAATAGAAGACCCTAAAACTGAGTGCTTCACAAGAAAACGTTAATAATCTGATAAAGTGCTAGTGAAAATGAATGATAGAATGTGCTG